GGCCCCATTTTTAACATTGTGATATTTATACTGCCAGACAGATTCATGCACAATTTTTCCTTACAAAATGAGATGACAATATACATACTATTTTGCCATCTGTGTTCTTCATGTCATATATCACAAAAATGTTTTTATGGCATTAAATATATTTCTCCCACATTATTTAAGTAGTTACATTGCACTCTATTGGCATGATAGATCATATTTTTTAACCCAACCTCTATTGGTGGACATTTCTATTGTTTCGAGTAATTTACTATTGCAATCAAACTGACGCATAAGTTAAAATCTTTTATTTTGACTCTCTAGATTTAAAGCTAAAGTTGTGGAGGATTTTATAGGTTCTCACTCTCTCTTTTTTATTAAGATATAATTCACAAAAAAAAAAAAAAAAAGATATAATTCACTTGCCATTAAATCTACCCTTTAAAAGTATAACTCTGTACTTCAAGACTGTATAACTCAGTGGTTTTTAGTATATTCACAGAGTTATGCAACCATCACTATCTATTTTCATCACCCCAAAAAGAAACCCCATATCAATTAGCAGTCACCCGCATACCTCTGTCCTCCTAGCTCCTGGCAACCTCTAATCTACTTTGTCTCTATAGATATGCCTATTCTGGACATTTCATATAAGTGGAATTATATAATAAGTAGTCCTTTGTAACTGGCTACTTTCACTTAGCATAATGTTTTCAAGCTTCCCCCACATTGTAGCATATATCCTTTTATGGCCAAATAATATTTCATTGTATTAATATACCACATTTAGTTTATCCATTCATCGGCTGATGGACATTTGGGTTGTTCCCACCTTCTGGGTATTATGAAAACATTGCTATGAACATTTGTGTACAAGTTTTTGAGTGGACATATGTTTTTTTTTTAAATTTTTATTAGAGTACAGTTGATTTACAATGTTGTGTTAGTTTCTGTTGTACAGCAAAGTGTATCAGTTATACATATAGCCACTCTTTTTTATTTTATTTTATTTCCATTTTTTGGCCACGCCTTGCAGAATGCGGTATCTTAGTTCCCCAACCAGGGATCGAACCTGCGCCCTCTGCAGTGGAAGCACGGAGTCATAACCACTGGACCACCAGGGAAGTCCTTATACACTCTTTTTGAGATTCTTTTCCCATATAGGTCATTACAGAGTACTGAGAAGAGTTCCCTGTGCTATACCATAGGTCCTTATTAGTTATCTATTTCATATATAGTAGCGTGTATTTGTCAATCCCAGTCTCCCAATTCATCCCTTCCCTCCCCTGGACATATGTTTTTAATTCTCTTGGGTATACACCTAGTACTGGAATTGCTGGATCATACAATAAGGCTGACTTATTCTTTTTTTTTAATTTTTTTTTTTTAATTTTTGGCTGTGTTGGGTCTTCGTTGCTGCACGTGGGCTTTCTCTAGTGGCAGCGAGCGCGGGCTACTCTTCGTTGCGGTGTGTGGACTTCTCATTGCAGTGGCTTCTCTTGTTGCGGAGCACGGGCTCTAGGCGTGCAGGCTTCAGTAGTTGTGGCTCACAGGCTCAGTAGTTGTAGTGCACAGGCTCAGTTGCTCCACGGCATGTGGGATCCTCCCAGACCAGGGATCGAACCCGTGTCCCCTGCATTGGCAGGCAGACTCCCAACCACTGAGCCACCAGGGAAGCCTGGCTGACTTATTCTTAATCCCCTTGTTTCTAATTCTACATGACATCAGCAACACCTTTCAGGTTTAGTTTCTGTAGACTGAATCTACAATTTCCTGCTTGGTCTGGTAGTCACCTTGCTTTAAGAGGTGGAGGAAGGGGACTTTGATATAACATTCAACTGTTTTCACCCTATGCCTCATGCCCACTTTACACAGTATCTGATGCCTTCATGGGGTCAGCATACACTTTAAACAATGTTTTCCTCCAGTTTGCTAATTTAGTTGCCTCTCACGACTCCATCTCTGTCTTTCAAAAACTTGTTGAAATCTCTCCTCTCCTGACTGATGTCTCCTGACTCCTGTGGGGGTTAGGCCTTTTTATATTCCTTTACTATCATTTTAGTAGGGTTTTGGGTAGGGAGGCTATAAACACACCTGTTTAACTGGAAATTGCTTTAATTATGCATGTCTTTCTGGTCATTGCTCATCTTCTTTTTTTTTTTTTTTTGCGGTACGCGGGCCTCTCACTGTTGTGGCCTCTCCTGTTGCGGAGCACAGGCTCCGGACACGCAGGCTCAGCGGCCATGGCTCACGGGCCCAGCCGCTCTGCGGCATGTGGGATCTTCCCGGACAAGGGCACGAACCCATGTCCCCTGCATCGGCAGGCGGACTCTCAGCCACTGCGCCACCAGGGAAGCCCAATTGCTCATCTTTGAAAGAGACCAGCTATTCGTTAAAAATTAGTTTAGAGAAAGATGAGGCAAGTGATCTGGACAGACCAGTTTTAAACTGACTGTTTTTCTTTGAACACTTTATCACCAAATCTGTTTTCTCCTCTGTCTGGTGTCATATCTTCCCAGTTTTCAAGATAAACGGAGTCAGTGTGGTAACATTCCCTAAGACAGGCTTTGTCTTAGTCCATCTGGGCTAAAATATATATATATATATATATATACACATATATCTCATAGGATGGGTGGCTTAACCAACAAACACTTATTTCTCACAGTTTTGGAAGCTGAGAAGTCCAAAATCAAGGCGCCAGCAGATTTGGTGTCTGGTGAGAGCCTGCTGTCTGGTTCGTAGACTGCTCTCCTCTCACTATGTCCACACAGGGCAGAAGTGGTGGGGGACCTCTGGGGGTCTCTTTTATAAGGGCACTAATCTCATTCATGAGGGCTCCACCCTTGTGACCTAATCACCTCCTAAAGCTCCCACCTCCAAATACCATCACACAGGAGATTGCGTTTCAACACATGAATTTTGAGGAGACACAAACATTCAGTGTACAACAGACTTTCTGAAACTTACTGTTCCCTCATTCCCCATCCCCCATCTCCCCTCACCCCCAGCAGGTTCCCTCAGCTAGGAGGTGGGGACATAGATAATTAATATGGTGCCTATGCATGGCTTCTCCATTACCTCCACCTCCCTATTCCCTATGTCCTGCAGGGTGGAGTTACTTCTCTGGAGTCTTTCCAGCCACTTGCCTTATGGTTCTACACAATGGACCATTAAGATATGAACCTTCCAGGACTTCCCTGGTGGCACAGTGCTTAAGAATCCGCCTGCCAATGCAGGGGACATGGGTTCGATCCCTGGTCTAAGAAGATCCCACTTGCCACAGAGCAAATTAGCCCGTGCGCCACAACTACTGAGCCTGCGTGCCAGAACTACCGAAGCCCACGCGCCTAGAGCCTGTGCTCTGCAACAAGAGGAGCCACTGCAATGAGAAGCCCGCACACCGCAACGAAGAGTAGCCCCCACTCGCCGCAAGTAGAGAAAGCCTGCGCGCAGCAACTAAGACCCAACGCAGCCAAAATTTAATTAATTAATTAATTAATTAGAAAAAAAGTGCCATCTCTCAAACCACTAAAAAAAAGAAAGTTTAAGATGAGCCTTCCAGAACAGTGCCCTTGGCTTTATTTGGCAGTATATGGCTTCCTTGTGTCATTGAAGCTGGAGACAGGTAGAAGAATGTTTAGCACTGTCTGTAATAACAAAAAGCTGGAAACATACAAATGACCACTAGCAGGAGAAGGGTAAATACGGTGCCACATATTCATACAATGGAACACAATTTTTTAAAAAAATAAATTTATTTATTTATTTTTATTTTTGGCTGTATTGGGTCTTTGTTGCTGTGCACGGGCTTTCTCTAGTTGCAGCGAGTGGGGGCTACTCTTCGTTGCAGTGCACGGGCTTCTCATTGCAGTGGCCTCTCTTGTTGCAGAGCACAGGCTCTAGGCACGTGGGCATCAGTAGTTGTGGCACATGGGCTTCAGTAGTTGTGGCTTGCGGGCTCTAGAGCGCAGGCTCAGTAGTTGGGGTGCACGGGCTTAGTTGCTCCGCGGCATGTGGGATCTTCCCTGACCAGGGCTTGAACCCGTGTCCCTTGCATTGGCAGGCAGATTCTTAACCACTGTGTCACCAGGGAAGCCCTGGAACACGATTTATCAATAAAAATGAGTGAACTGTAGGTGTGCACAGCAACATAGATGGGTCTCAGAAACATACACTTGAGTGAAAGAAAGTAAGTCACAGAAGAATATATACTCTGTGATTTCAATAAAATGCAAAAACTCCCCCAAATTAAAATACATTGTATGGGAAATACACATGAAAAGTAAAACTCTAAGAGGTACAAACTATTATGTATAAAATAAGTTACAAGGATATATTGTACCACATAGGGAATATAGTCAATATTTTATAATAACTATAAGTGAAGTATAACCTTTAAAAATTGTGAATCACCATATCGTACACCAATAACTTATATAATATTGTAAAACAACTATACTTCAATTAAAAAAAATAAAAAGACAGGGACTTCCCTGGTGGACCAGTGGTTAAGACTCTGCACTTCCACTGCAGGGGGCATCGGTTCACCCTTGGTCAGGGAACTAAGATCCCGCATGCCACGTGGCATGGCCAAAAAAAAGAAAAAAGAGAGATAAAAGAGAGTAAACCTCTATCCTCCTCTAAAATCCTATTTTTATGTGTACGTTAAAAAATAAGGCTTATGACTAATTTCCTATATTTTTAGTTATTTATGTACTGGTATAATTTATTCTGAAAACTTATAAACTTTCTAAAGACAGAGGCTCCACAAACTATGGCACAAAGTCTTGATATTAGTAAGAATGCATCAAAGCTTGTTGAATAAATGAATGCATAAATCACTCTTGTTCTCTTTTACACTCACATAGAGATATGAAGGATTGTTAGGAATAACTATATCTAAATATCTATATGACTATTACTATAATTTTAGATAAAATATAAATATCAAGTCCTTCAATGTTAAGAATTTTTAAAAGAGGTCCAGAGATACTGGCGCCATGGCTTACCTTTCAGCTCACATATTCGTGGAGGAAATAGCACACACTAGGGTCAGTTACCCAAAGATGTCACAGCTGGTAGTAGGGTTGTGGTATCACATTTATACTTTGATACCATATAATATGGTACCTATAGAAATAAAAGAACTGTATTTGTACCCTTGTTTTAGGACTTCCTAATATAATTAAAAATATGTGCCTCATAATATTAATCTTTTGATACATTCTGTGAAAAAAGGATATTTTGTTCAAATATGCTTGAGAAACTATGCAAATTATACTTCCCTCCTGGCAATTAGTAATATACAGTGACATATTAAAGGTTTCCAGAAATCAGATAGCTTTTAACAAGATTGTTTAACCTTCATTAACCTTGTCTCCCAATTATAATTGTCCTTGGAATGGTCAAGTTTCATCTAACAACTATAAATATCCCAAGGAAAAAGTCTTCTATGGAAAACGTTTTAGAAAAACTGTTCTAAGATATTACTTGGATTGCAAAGTGCAAAAGATGTGGTCTAAATCCACCTTTAGGGTGAGGTATTTACAATCCTTTCTTTTCGATCTGGAAATGATCAATTTGCCTATGAGGGAAAGTGTCAGGGTGCAGGTGAGGGTGGGCGTACCTGTGTATGCAGGTACACAGGTACACAGCAGGAGGGTGGGAGTATGGAAGCATCCCATACATGTCAGCTGCTGGCAACAGTGGAAGCAGATTCCAAGTATACACTTATTAGACCTCAAAAGCTGCTGCTTTCTTTCCCCTGATTGTATCTGCTTTGTCCTTCCATCCTTTCTTGTGAAGCTGCTCTGGCTCAGAGGTACCCCACTTATTCTGTTATGATGATTTATGACTTTATCTAAATCCTCCAACTATACTTATAATTAATTACATAATTCCATTTCCATAACGTTATATAACACACTGTCTTATCCTACCCCACATCCTGGGGAACGATATTAAAACAATAAAATAATTATGGCTGAAATTCATTGGTATCCCAGTTAGAACATTTAGTTCCAACTATCACAGAATAACCAAATGTTTGATAAAACTTACAAAAATAAATCTATGGGTGTGAAATTTATTTGTACTCTTATTTTAAACTGTGCCACATAGGATATAATCAAGTATGCAATAGAAGTTTGTTGAATAAATCAATGCATAAGTCACTTGTGTTCTCTTTTACATTCACATGGAGGATCACTGGGGATGACAATGTCTGTATATTTGTATATTTGCATATGTATGTATCTATATAAGTTTATAGACATATATGTAATATGTAATTTCAAAATGTGATTGTAATAAAATTTTAACTAATGCGAAAAAAAAAAAAGAGTAGGGCTTCCCTGGTGGCGCAGTGGTTGAGAGTCCGCCTGCCGATGCAGGGGACACGGGTTCGTGCCCGGGTCCGGGAAGATCCCACATGCCGCGGAGCGGCTGGGCCCGTGAGCCATGGCCGCTGAGCCTGCGCGTCCGGAGCCTGTGCTCCGCCATGGGAGAGGCCACAACAGTGAGAGGCCCACGTACCGCTAAAAAAAAAAAAAAAAAAAAAGAGTAAACCTCTAAAGAAAAAGAAGGGAAAGATTAAGTCAAAATTCAGCATAATCGATACAGCCTGGAAGGAGAAAAAGGGGTGTGACTGGGATAGTCCACACAGGACCTTCTAAGGTACTAGTTAAATTAGATTTTTAAAACTAATTAGTAGGTACATGTGTTCATTTTACTGTTATTAAACTGTACATATATGTTAAGTACATTCTTTTGTTATTCATAATAAAAGGTGCAGTGATTGATTGATTTCTCTTTTTTTCATCTTTTAAAAGATGGAGTTGTTTCTCTTCTTCATTCTTTGGAGGGTTTTTTTTTTTTTTTTTTTTTTTTTTTTTTTGCGGTACGCGGGCCTCTCACGGCTGTGGCCTCTCCCGTTGCGGAGCACAGGCTCCGGACGCGCAGGCTCAGCGGTCATGGCTCACGGGCCCAGCCGCTCCGCGGCATGTGGGATCTTCCCGGACCGGGGCACGAACCCGTGTCCCCTGCATCAGCAGGCGGACTCTCAACCACTGCGCCACCAGGGAAGCCCTGGAGGGTTTTAAGAGTGGAGAGAGGAGTAAAATATGCTCCCCCTGCCCCATTTTTTATCAGTGACTCTCTCTCCAGGGATTTGAATAATTCACATGCACAGAGTGCGAAGGCACAGGGCATTATGGAGCTTGGGTTACCATGTAAACACTGAAGAGAGAGTTCATGGAAAATTGACATCAAGAAGTTCTGTGACTTCCAAAATTGTGTATTTTTGAAACCCGTGAAAGGAAAATGGCTTTAATTGGAAAATGGCTTGGGTACTTGTTTGGAGGATTGGTGCAACAGTACAGAGGAAGAAGCTAAGAGGACCTCACCTCCAACTGGGCCTTGTTGACTCCCAGAGAGAGTGGAACAGGAGTCCGGGAGGAGAGATGGTCTAGGGGAATACTGACTGACCCAATGTGAGGCCTGCTTGACCCAGTGCCCGAGTGGACCCATAGCCACCTCAAATGGCATGATGCCTGTAGGAAGGGCCGATATCTTTCCCAACTCAGGAGCTGTATCTATTCATGCCAGAAGAAGTGTTGAGTTGAGCCCCGAAGCCTCTAAGCCATGGCCCAGAACAGCCTTCATGTCGGAGCTTGGTGAATAGACAGGGGTGGGGGTGGAGCAGTTGCCAAGAGAGGTCAGCAGAACCTTGCAGTGCTGGGGAGGGAATGTGGACTTTACCCTGAGCAATGAGGAGCTGTTAAAGGGTTTAAGCCAGGAAGAGGAAGGAGAAGATTTGATTGAGAAAATATGTAATAAAAAATGCTAGTAAGACCAGTAATTCATTTAAAGGAGTCTATATTGCATGAATCACATCAGCATCTACAGTTATAGTAATGTCCATATGTGGCCAAAATATGTTTTCATTCTATGGACAATGCCTGGTGCGAATCAGGATTCAGAGACCTTTCGCAAAATTCTGTGCCCACACCCTCCACTCCCAGGGTTAGGCTGTGGGTCTAGTTAATGTTAACACTAAAACTCTTCTTCCTGACAGCAATTAGCAGCAAGTTCGGCGTCTTTCCTTAAGTGGGGAAGACCATGTCCCCAGCACTAGAAGGAATGTTTGCCTTTCCATTTGCTCTAAGGGACACACACCTAAGTCACGTGACAGCTCTTACTTCTAACCACTTAAATTTCCGCCCACAACAAGAGAGGAACTAATACCCAACACATATTTACACTAATTAGGACTGTTAGCAAAACTAATAACTAGTATTATGACACCAGTCTTGAATTTGCCTTACTCTTTTATTTATTTTTATAGGTAAGAAGTGGATTTATTTAGAGAGAAACACACTCCACAGACAGAGTGTGGGCCACCTCAGAAGGTGAGAAAGGCCTGCCTTACTCTTTTAATCCTCACAACATCTGCTGAGGTAGTTGCTATCATCGCCATTGGAATGAACCACTTAATTATATAATCTTTTGTTCAGTATCCACATCCCGTGATAAGGTCAAGGAGAGCAGGGAGCATATCTGCCATGTTTCCCCTTGGATCCCTGGTGCCTAGAACAGTGCCTGACACGTGGTCATCATTCAAAATGTGTTTGTTGAATCAGTGTTGAGTCCCCCATTTAAAGTGAGGACACCAAGGCTTAGAGATGTTAAATAGCTTACCAACTATTAGGTCAGCAGCTAATCCAAAACCACATCTGTTAGACTTCGTCTTCTTACTGGCTCCCAAATCGTCTAAGGTTTTATAAGGATCACATAGCTCGGTCAAGTTTCTAGCAGTTAAACAGAAATCTACTGAAAGATTCATTAACACCTTCTAAAAAATCTTAACCATTTTGAGAACATAACACAGAATTCAGAGGTGAGCAGTAGGACAGTGGCTGTGTTTAAACTTGCCGTGTTTCATAAAGACCTTACACTGAGAAATTCACACCTGGCATTTGAGAACACAGGCTGGCATAGAACTTGGAGGAAGTATTGTTAGGAACTTTCCCAGCTAAATTCTTCCCAAGCTTATTATCAGTAAAGAGGGTGTTTTCATTAAAATAGAGATCATTATGGTTTTATAGCTTTCTCCTCAACTGCAACCTTTACTGGGCTAAGGCTCCAGTTTTCATGGGCCACCTGGCATTCCTCATTTTTACCTTATTTGCCTGAAATAGTTGGCCAAGGAAGCCTGGGTCCTGATTCCAGCCCCTTCCCCACATCCAGCTTGGCCTGGGCACAAATTCCCTTATAAATACTCGATAGTCAACGGCCTCTGGAAGAAGCATAGAAAAATAACATTATCTTTACCCATAGAAAGGGTATTGAAGCAACTTGTACAAGCTACCTGTGGTGAGAGAGGCAAGTTAAGTCTCTGAGAAAGGGCTCCATTGGGAGTTAAGTAACAAGTCCTGTCCTATTCCCACTCCATCTATTTCTAGGCAGGAGTCTCACCAAGCTTCCAGGCAAACCCTCAGCCAGACAATGCAAGAGCAACTGATGTATGAACGGCAGGTGTTACCCCAAGCAAGAGAGAGTCCAGACCCTCTCCCGGATCTGTCATCCATGCCTAGGCGGGGAACTGCAAAACACCAGTCTAAGGGGGCACACATTCTCTCCTCACCACAACAGGGGTAGAGGTCAGGGTGCAAAGGTTTCAGAAAACTCGAATTCTCTGTAGTTTTAGTAACTAACATTGCATAGCTTTTGATGATCTCTGAGCCATTTCTGATGTGCAAAGTGTTTTCACATGCACCTCCTATTGAGGTAGATGGGCCAATATTGTTATTCACAAATCAGAGATGAACAAAGAGATCGTTATTTGTCTAAAGCCATGTCATTCTCCCCAAAACCAGCCTCCTGGTGCACTGCTGCTCAGTCGTGGTGTTTGGCTTTTCTCCCTCTTCAAGTCAATCACCGGCTGCCTTTACATCACAAATTCTCAACTCTTGGTGTGCCGTCACTTAGAAAACCTAGTCTATGCCCCGACACACACAAGCATGTGTGCACACACACAGACACAACTGAGCATTAACTCTCATGACTCTCAGAGATACCCTGAAGACCATGGACAGAGGCTGAGAATCCTTTTAGAAGTAACATGTGTGAGACCAAAGGGACATAATAACCAAATGTAATATATGAACTGTATTTTCTGGTTCCAAAATTCAGTTACAGAATACATCTTAGGAACCACCAGAGAAATCTGAATATGGAATATATATATTAAATTTTATTAAGGAATTTTCTTAAGTGATATTAGGTTAATTTTCTTTGATGTGATAATGGTGTTTTTTATTATTATTATTTATTTATTTTTGGCTGCGTTGGGTCTTCGTTGCTGTGCGCGGGCTTTCTCTAGTTGCGGCGAGCGGGGGCTACCCTTTGTTGCAGTGCGCAGGCTTCTTATTGCGGTGGCTTCTCTGGTTGCGGAGCACGGGCTCTAGGTGGGTGGGCTTCAGTAGTTGTGGCTCATGGGCTCTAGAGCGCAGGCTCAGTAGTTGTGGCGCACGGGCTTAGTTGCTCCGCGGCATGTGGGACCTTCCCAGACCAGGGCTCAAACCCCAGTCCCCTAAATCGGCAGGCAGATTCTTAACCACTGCACCACCAGGAAGTCCCAATAATGGTGTTTATTCATGGGGGAGAATATACTGATTTTTAGGAGATGCTTAAGTACTGAGAGGTGAAATATCATGAAGTCTGCAACATGTTTTCAAATGGTTCAGAAAAATATAGAACAATATAAGATTGAACAATATGACATTTGCCAATATTACATCATTTTTAACCTATGAAAACAGCAATTGCAGGATTTAACCTAATTTATAAAGAAAATACAGCAAACTATTAACAGTTTAACCTAGGTGGTGATATATGCATGTTTATTGAAAAGTTCTTTCAACTTTTCTGTACATTGGAAAATTTTCATAATAAATACATTTTCCTAATTAAATTTTGGGGAAAAAAGAAGTTTCTGTTTGTGATACCTCTCAAATCTGCTCCTCTATTAGTTACCTATTGCTATGTAAGAAATTACCCCAAAATTTAGTGGCTTAAAACAGCAAACATTTCTAGGTAAATACTCAAAAGAACTGAAAGCACAGATTGAAAGAGATATTTGTACATCCATGTTCACAGCAGCATTATTCACAATAGCCAAAAAGTGGATGCAACTTAAGTGTCCATCAGTGGATGAATGGGTAAACGAGATGTGGTCTATACATACAATGGAATATTATTCAGCCTTAAAAAGGAAGGAAATTCTGACACATGTTACAACATGAATGAAACTTGAAGACACTATGCTAAGTGAAATAAGTCACAAAAGGACAAAGAGTGTATGCACATAAATGAGAGAGCTAGAGTAGTCAAATTCATAGAGACAGAAAGTAGAATGGTCGTTGCCAGGGGCTGGATGAGAGAATGAGGAGTTAGTATTTGATGGGTCTGGAGTTTCAGTTTGGGAAGATGAAAAAAGTTCTGAATGTGCGTGATGCTGTTGATTGCACAACAATATGAATGTACTTAATGTCAATGAACTGCACACTTAAAAAGGGTTAAAATGGTAAATTTTATGTCATGTATATTGTATCCCCCTCCCCCCCACACACACAAAAACATTCATTATCTCACAGTGATATGCCAATATTCTGTTCACTAGAATCAAGACACGAGGTCCAGGGCTTCCCTGGTGGCGCAGTGTTTAAGAATCCACCTACCAATGCAGGGGACGCGGGTTCGAGCCCTGGTCCAGGAAGATCCCACATGCCGTGGAGCAACTAAGCCCGTGCACCACAACTACTGATCCTGTGCTCTACAGCCCATGAGCCACAACTACTGAAGCCTGCGTGCCACAACTACTGAAGCCCACACGCCTAGAGCCCGTGCTCCACAACAAGAGAAGCCACTGCAATGAGAAGCCTGGGCACCGCAACAAAGAGTAGCCCCTGCCCACCACAACTAGAAAAAGCCTGTGTGCAGCAACGAAGGCCCAATGCAGCCAAAAATAAATTTAAAAATAATGATAATAAATAAATAAATAAGAAAAGAAAAAGAAATTAAAAACAAAACAAAACAAAAAAGCAAACAAACGAAAAAAGGCACTAGGTCCACTCAAGGGGAAAGGTTACACAGAGCATGAAAACCAGAAGGTCGGGGTCTTTGAGAACCTTCTTAGAAGCTGCCTACCACAGTCTGCCCTCTGAACCCAATGACTCACATCTCCTCTCATGTGTAAAATACATTCACTCCCTCAGAAGGTCCTCAAAAGTCACATCCCATTACAGCAACAGTTCAAAATCCAAAATTTCATCATTTAAATGAGGACCAGGTGTGGATCAGGCTCCAGGTATAGTTCCTTGAATGTACTTCCTCGCAATCTGTGCACCTGTGAAACTAGACACGCTATCTACCTCAGCACGAATATACACGCTAGTGGAACAGGCATAGGATAAACACTGTAGACATGTCTCTTCAAAAATGGGGAAAACGGGGCTTCCCTGGTGGCGCAGTGGTTGAGAGTCCGCCTGCTGATGCAGGGGACGTGGGTTCGTGCCCCAGTCCGGGAAGATCCCACTTGCCGCGGAGCGGCTGGGCCCGTGAGCCATGGCCGCTGAGCCTGCGCGTCTGGAGCCTGTGCTCCGCAGTGGGAGAGGCTACAACAGTGAGAGGCCCACATACCGAAAAAAAATAGTCACACGAAAGGTCATAGCAATTCCAAAATCCAGCAGGCAAATGGTGGAACTTACTCAACTAGGTCTCAAGGACTAGGAATAATTCTCTGCGGTTCTTGGCTATGCCCTCTGAGTTCTTGGTTCTGTTCTCTGAGCCCTTCTTTTCATGAAGGGTAGCCAATGGGTTTGCAGCTAAGTAGTTTCTTAGCCTTTTTCTGCCAGTAGAATTTTGGGGTCCAATGGCCTTTTTTCAGTTTGTATAATCTCCTGTCCCTTTCGGTCTAAGTTGGCAGTGTTTTCACTGATATCATTCTCACAAAAACTTTGTGAGTCTCCTGTGATTCTCATTGGGGTTCTCTCCATTAGACAAAAGCTGCGCCCACAAATCTCTGCAAGATAAGTCCTTCTCCTTGGCCTCCTGCTGAGACAGCAAAGGAACAATGATGCCCTTAAACTTTCCAGAGTCTCTGCTGTTTGAGAGAATCTGTGAAGCACACATGTTTCAAAAAGCTCTTTGTGTGTCTGAATGGTATTCTGAGGTACTATCCTAGTACTTTCTGCGGTCTTAACAGAAGGCTTACAGTCACATCTTTTGCTCCATCTCTAGACCTCTGTTGGAACATCCCCTTGGATTTAAACTTTCCTCAGAAGCCATTTCTTAATTTTAGCATCTTTTACCTCTGGAGAGGCTGAGAATTGGAAAGCCATCAAGTCCTAGCTCCTTTTTGTTTAACAGTCCCTCCCGCAGTTTATATCCCTCCTCTTGCGTTTTGCTGTAAGCAGCAAGAAGAAAACAGGCATCCACTTAAACACTTTGCCTGGAAATCTCTGGAGCTAGAAGCTCCTGCCACAGTCCCTTCCTTTTCATCCCCACCGCCACTACTCTCTCTGGGTGAGTGGTACTCAAAGTTTGGGGAGGTCAGGAACCCTTTACACTCTTAAAAGTTACTGAGGACCCCAAAGAGTTTTGTTTATGTGGGTTATATCTATCAATATTTACTGTATTAGAAATTAAATCTGGGAAATTTTAAAAATATTTATTGATTCATTAAAAAATACCCTCTCGGGCTTCCCTGGTGGCGCAGTGGTCGAGAGTCCGCCTGCCGATGCAGGGGACGCGGGTTCGTGCCCCGGTCGGGGAGGATCCCACATGCCGCAGAGCAGCTGGGCCCGTGAGCCATGGCCGCTGAGCCTTCGCGTCCGGAGCCTGTGCTCCGCAACGGAAGAGGCCACAACAGTGAGAGGCCCGCGTACCGCAAAAAAAAAAAAGAAAAAATAAATAAATTAAAAATACACTATCTCATGTTAACATCAGAGTGATGACGCCAACACACATCATGCAGCCTGTGGAAAACTCCACTGCACAGTCATGAGAGCATGAGAGTAAGGAAGGTAAATAATATTTTAGTATCGTTGTGACAGTAGTTTTGAACTCACAGAGCCCCTGGAAGGGACTTCAGGTCTCCTAGGGGTCCCCAAACCACACTTTGGGAACTTCCATCTAGATCATTCTCCTCAGAGCGCCGGATCAAGTCTCAGTCCCTCGCCCGCCCACACCTGCTTTCTCCCCACCTCGCCACTCACCCCTAGGACTTGGCTGCCCAAGCCCTCCAGCCCAGCAGTTGTCCCAAGCATCCCCACTCTGTCTTAAGGACTTTGTTGTTCTTTCCCCTCATCCTCTCCTTACCTAGAAGGTCCTCTCCTCCTTTTCCACCTGCCCCATGGCTCGGTGGTCACTCCCACAACCAGACTCCTGAGATGCTGTTCTCAACAGTCCTCACTCAGCAACTGTGGGCTCTTCTTGGCAGGTGTGTGTGCTGTCTTCTCCATGACCAGGTGAACCTGGGGTCAGAGGCAGCCTGGATTTAAATCCTGACTCTGTGTCTCATTAGCCTTGTTTACATTTTTTTCATTGGAATAAAAAATTACATAGTAGCATATGCTTCTAGAAGAAAAAAGAATACAGAAATGCGTAAGGTAAAAGGTAAACCTCTTCTCCTTGCCCTCTTCATTCTCTACTCCCCAGGTGGTACCTACTGTGGGCAGCGTCCTTTCAGACCCTTTCATAGACATATATACATATGTCACATGTAAGTTTCTTTTTGTTTTTCTATTTTTTACAAAGAAGAGAACATACCTATACCTATGTCCTAGAACTTGCTTTTTTTTTTGTAAAAGCATCATGGATATTCTTTGGATAGATCTACCATATTCTTTTTCAATATTTTCCAACAAAAACAAATCCTATTATTTGAGTGCTTTCATTAAATAAATCCCACGAGGGTAACAAACCTTAGAACAAATCACATTTGGACAAAAAGTCCAGTGTTCTGAGTCAGGGTAAAATGTCCAATTAACATTTGAACCAGAAACTTCTAATATTTGAGCTTATTTTACTTGTTGCTGTATGTACTTAAATAATATAAAGAAAAACTCTAATTCAGAAAAAAATAATGTGGAAAATGATAAACTAGAAACAAAATAATTTAAACCATTTCGAGACCCAGTTTACACCACAGGAAGAAAATAAAGTTTTCTGTACGAAGAAAAGCATCACACTTTTTAATATAAACTAATTAAGAATTAAGTGCTCCGTTTAGCTGTCCTCCTGCTCTAGGTGATGTCTCCTCGCCCATCTGCTTTGGATGCCCACTAATTAGTTATTCAGAACCTTCTCTGTTCTGTCCCCCTAGCCCTCTCCCAAACACTCATGAGCAAATAAGTAGGCCAGGTGGATAACTTTCTTTAAAAAGAGTACAGAATTTCTGCCCTCTTCATCTCCACTTTCCAAATATCTTTGGCTTGAGCTTATCTCTTTTTTTGCAGTTTAAGGACTCAATGAAAGTTGCCCATGAGGGAGCAGGCACGATCTCCCCCACCTCTGTGAGGTGGCTCCTTGTGTCTCGAGCCGGATGAAGTGCTAGATAGAAATGTACAATTCCTCCCATTCAAAAACAGGAAGAGCACCCAAGAAATCGAGTCCCAGCTTCCCTTCCCATTTTCAGAGCATTTCGGAGATTCCAAACAAAGCCAGTTAGGCAAGAACTTATTTAAAGCCTTGAGTTCTTTTCCACACCAAAATTTTATATTTTAAACTGTTATATAAATTGTAAGCCTGTTAGCCTTATCCTTTTATGGTTTTTGTATTTTCAGTCTTGTTTGGGAAGAGTTTTCCTAATCTCAAGATTAAAAAAAAAAAAGTTCTCCTGTATTTATTTTTAGTACTTTCATATGGTTTAGCTCCTCAATCCATCTGGAATTTATTTGGGGGTCTTTTCTCAAATTTATGGGTGAATTAATCCCTCCAGCAGCATTTCCTTATTTATTTGAAATGTCTCCTTTAACAAGTAAAATATTCTTTTTTTCCCATAGCTGTTTCTGGATTGTATTCTGTCCCAATGTTTTGTTCCACTGATTCTATGTCTGCACACATTGTTTTTATTACTATAGCTTCAAGGTATGTTTTGATATCTAAAAGGACAGCCTCTTATTTTCTTTCTTTTCCCAACTTTTCTTGGGTCTTTTTTTTATAGCTTCATTGGTTTTACAACCTGAAGTAAGTCTGAGTCAGTTTTCTCATCTGAAAAGATTAAGACTATGGACTCTACAGTCATTTTTTCTGGATATCAGCAAGGTCCACCCAGGCAAATGGAAAGTCTTCTAGGTCTTTTAAGCAGAGGGGATTTAATACAGGGAATTGGTGACATGATATGGAAGGACTAAGTAGCTTAATGCAAAAATAGGAAGCTATTCTACTGGGGGTGCAACAGGAGGAGGATGTACTATTGCTAAAGCGTAGAGTGGGAGCCATGTGATGGAATCTAGAACCTCGTAAGGTTGCCTGATGGGAGTTGGGACCATGGAGCAAGGGCCTGTGGAGCAGATACAGGAGCCACGGGAGACACAGCTGTTGCCAGAGACACCACAGGAAGCAGAGAGAGGGATAGGGAGAAATACTCTGGCTTCTCTCCTCCTCCCTTTCTCCAAGCTTCCATTAGTGCTTGCCATTGGCTGAATCAACCTGGAAACTGGAGAGCAAGGGAGGCTGGGAAATGTAGTTCCCTGTGATATAGCACAGAGATTAGGAAAGGCAAGGGAGTAATGTGAGCAAGAAAAGGCAGTTGGGCACAACCACATACCAGTTGTGTGACCTTGGAAAAGTTACTTAACCTCAGTTTGTCTCAGTTTCCTCCTCCAAAAAGTGGGGATAAATAATAATAGTACTTACCTCACAAGGCTCTCGTGGGGATTAAGTGCATTAATACGTGTTAAACACTTTGTAAGCATTTAATAATAGTATTTATTATTATTATTCCATAAAATGAAGATAGCAATACCTATCTTGCAGAGCTATGGTCAACAGTGAAGTGAGATAATGACTGCAAAATGTTTGCATCGTGTCGTGCATCTGGTACTGGGTACTTCCTGAATGTTTGTTCTCCTCGTAGCCTCAGCGCCTCACCCTTAGTATGTGCTCAATAATGGCTGTAGCTGACGATAATGATGGCCTCGACCTGGGGAGGATGCAGCCTCCTCAGACTGAGGAGGGACATTCTTGCTCTGCTAGAGAGCTAGGGGGACTCTGGAGGGCTGGGCCTTCAAGGGTTTGGGCAACACACAGCCCTACATCAACCAATATGCCCACATACGGAGATGCATTTGGAATGACATCCTGCAACTTTCTCAGGTTTCTTCTCCTGCTATTGTTGGCGCCCCTTCTTTGATTTTAGCCTATTCTTTTTGGCTCATGCAGACAACTGTGCATTTCTGTGTTCACATACATGGTATGAACGTTCATGAGTACACAATCCTGTGTGTGTGTTGAGTACTTTCCCACTTATGAGCATTGCTCCCAACAAGCTCGCTAATGTAGACAGGGCAAGCTTCATTATTATCCCTGCTGAACAGCAATGGAATCCAAGACTTCAAGAAGACAAGTGGTACACCCAAAGGCCCCCGGGGACTTGGGACAAAGCCATCTCACTCAAGTTCAGGATTCTTCCTGCTAATATCTCAGGCAGCCTCCCACAAGCATGTGTGAGTTAATGTGCATATACACACATGTGTGTACTCCACACATACACAATAGATTCAAGTCTCTGAAGGGAAGGTTCATGCCTTATCAATCTTAATATTCCCTGCCTCAGATAAAATGCCTGGCAGCTGGAAAAGAAAAAACATTGTGGAATTCAGTTGGCCTTGACTCTTGAACAGGACCCTCCTGGGGGAGGGGTGGGGAACATAGATGAGAATTATAGCCAGAGCCAGGGTTCAAGACCAGCTTGACTGAACTCTACAGTGCTCTGACCCTTGATTCCAGCTCTACCCAGACCTTTCTCAGGTCATCACAGAGCAGAGGACCTGGCCACCAGGAGGGAGTGAGATTCTCAGGGAAACAGATGTGCCCACCTGGCTCTGCCCTGGGGTGTGTAACAGCTTCTTCTGGGCAGTGGGATCCCTGGCAGGCAGGAGTTTGCTCTAAACCTACTGTGTTAATCAACCAACTGCCTCAGCTGCCCACCCGGGGCCTGGCATCCACACTGGTCCCTGGCAAACCAGTTGAAGCAGGAGCCTCATTCGTGTGGGCACGGAGCGCTGGCAGGAACCATGGGACACTAGAGATTAGAAGCCCCAGCTAATAAAATGGTTGCCATTGGGCATCAGTGTTTGCCAGGCACGTCTACATCAATACTTGTTCTATTCTTCACTCAGCCAAGGCATGGGCGCTGCTGGGGTCTGACTCAGCCCTTTGCACTGGCTTCAGCTATGAACTCATTCCCTTCTGACATTTTATTTATTTATTTATTTTTAATCTTTATTTATTTATTTGGCTGCCCTGGGTCTTAGTTGCTGCATGCGGGATCTTTAGTTGCAGCATGTGGGCTCTTAGTTGCAGCGTGAGGGATCTAGTTCCCTGACCAGGGATCGAACCCGGGCCCCCTGCCTTGGGAGCTCAGAGTCTTAACCACTGGACCACCAGGGAAGTCCCACCCTTCTCCGATATTTTACAGATTCTACGTACTCAATTGATTTGGCTTTGCTTTGCATCTGTGCTCTTTCTCCTTATCCTGAAATGGGATGCCACTCTGTCCTGTCAGCTGGAAAGACTTCTGGAGCAGGAACGCGGAGGCAGGCTCAGCACAGGTGGCCCAGGCAGCTGCCCACGCCACTGCCATGTGCTTTCAAGAGCCCTGTTGGCTGCCCCACTCTCCCCTCTGCCCACAGACATCCCAGTGCCCCTGAGAGTCAACAGGAAAAGGTTGGGTCATGAATTAGACAATGGGCAGTGAGTGGGAAGAATAAAAGCCAAAGGCCTCACATGGGGACCCTGAGACCGCATGCACCCTGCCCCCGTTACCCCTCAGGCCTCATTTCCTCTTACTGTCCCCTCATTTCACTCTTCACTGTTCCTGGAACATGCCAGGCCCACTCCTACCACAGCGTCTTTGCACTACTCTTCACCCAGACAGCCCCATGCTCCCTCCTGCTTCCTGTTCAGTGCTTTGCTCTGATGTCATTTTCTTGCCGAGGCCTTCCTTGACCACCTCCCTACAATTGCAAGCCCCATTCCCCACCCCCTTGCTTTTGCCCTGGCTCCTCTCACCGTCCACCTTAGTTATCTGGTTGATGATTGTTCTCCCCACCTCCGCAGTTTTGTCTGTTTGCTCACTGCTGTGTCTCCAGCACCGAAGCAGCGCCTGACACGTAGCACATGCTCAGTGATATTTGTTAGATTTTTGCGTGGATGAGGCTGGCCTGTGAGCTGATTCCAGACAGCCCTGGGTTTAAATCAGCCCCACTCCCTTCTGGGCCTGACTCAGTTCATCTGTCTGATGACAGGGGCGCATGTGCCACTGAGTAAGCTGCCTTCCAGTGGTAATCATTGGTGAGTCTAGGCAATATCCTCTTCCCACCCAAGAAAGGCCCAAACAGAAGGCAACGAGGGAAGGGAGGCAGGAAGCAGCTGCCAGGATGACTAACTGGGATCTTAAGTCATTGTCCCCCAGTGCCAATCGTTACAGGCCTCAGCAAGGCTCAGGATTAGTGAGACTCATGTGGCTTCCCGGCCTGACCCGGCCCAAAAGGGCCATGAGGCGCACTTGGAAAAATAACTCCATCATAGCGAGCTGACACTGAGGCCTGGAGGAGGAATTGAGGTTTGCTGGACTTGTACAGAAATTTTGCAAAACTAGACTTGATTCAGCTCTCATTCAACAAATACTGTACTTATAAGGACTCCCTCAGTGCCAGGCACTGCTCTAGGCAGGAACAGAGCAATAAACCAGAGGAGAGATGTCCTGCTTTGACCTGTGTGTTTACTTGTGAGTCCTGGCGTGCCATCCCTCCCCAAGACCCAGGGCCTGCTTTCCTTCCACCTCCTGCACCCCAGTATTTTAAATCTCCCCAGATCTACTGGCTACATCTAGATACATAGATGCCATGTATCTCAAAACCAAAACAACAGCAGCAGCAAGGACCTGCGCTCCCGCTAGACCACTGAGACAACAACACTGAGTCCCCCGTATCCCTCTCCGTCATCCCAGTCACATCGACTTTGTGTTCTGTCCCCCTTTCGGGAAGCTCCAGCTCTCTTTCTCATTCTCAGCATCTTCGTGTCTTTGGTCCTACCATTCCCCAACAAAGTCACCTTCTGTACCTGTGGGGTTAATTGCTCCAGTGGTTCCCAAACTAACTGTATGTCCCCGTATTCAGCCCCTTCGAGCGTTCATCCTTATCTGAACCCTCCCCTCCCTTCCCTCTGCCTCTTCAAAACTGCTCATCACATCACCCTCTCACCTTCAAGGGGAGGCAGGCTTCTCTCAGTTCCCCAACCCTTGAGAAACTCTCCACCACACAGAACACCTGCTTACCATGAATGCATTGTCATCTGTACTGCACACACACCTTTCCATGTAATTACCGACTGTCCGAGATTGTTTCCTGTATGCATGTCTTATCTCTCCGTGAGACTGTAAACTCCTTGAGGGCAGGGACAATTTCTATCTTTCTGTATCCTATACAGCCCAGTACCCACTCACTCGGCAATCAGTGACAGATCTGACCTGGATTTACCAAATGGTAATATTTAAGAATAATACATTTGTTGAAACGTGTATTTGTTTACAGATGTTAAAAGGAAAATGTAGCATGCAAGGCGGTATTATACGGTCTGATTACCACGGTGTAAACTATGTACTCATAAGGGTAAAACTGGAAGGTAATCGGTAAAAATAAAAAGCATTTTGTCAGGGTTGTTGGACTATGAGTGATTTGTTTAATAATCTGTAACTATTGTTAGCGCATTGTTTATGCATTTGAAAAGAGTTTTTTTTAAATACGTGGAGGGCTTTAAGTGTCATCGAAACATTCCACTCTTGGGTACAAACTCATTAAGTCTTTCTTACGAAATAAGAGGGAATGGGAGCGGGGTAGGCAGGATTGGCAGTCCTTTCGAGATTTTACTCAAGTCATATTTATACACAAATAGCTAAGCAAAGGGGGGAAGACGCCAAAGTCCAAGTTTTGCCTGCAAATGTTTATTCCCTGAGGATGGGACAGAAAAAATAAACAGCTTAAAATAACCAATGAAATCACGTGAGCTGTAAAGATTTTTTTTCTCTCCACCAGAATGGGAAGTGTGTGCATTCCCCTTGAGTTTCCTGGTGTTTTGTGCTCTGAAGCCCCAGCAAGCGGGGCGTATGACTGGGAGAGGGAGAGCCTGGGTACACCATCCATCCAGGCAAGGACAGCTCTGGGCACAGGCTTCCTCTGAGTCCTTAACCTCTTCTGACATATTTATTTTATTCATATCAGACTGTGGGCTCTCAAAGATGAGGACCATGCTCTTTCTGTCAAAGAGGTGGCTCCACAGCACACCTAATATCTAAGAGGAACCCAAGAAGTCATTGTCCAATGCCCTCATCAGACCCAGGAGGGCCAGGCTCAGAGGCGTGTGCAGAGGCCACATAGCCTGGGATTCTTGGGGCGGGGGGGGGGGGCTGGTTTTAGAGAGCTCTGGAGCGCCCAAGCCCAGCCCCCAGTGTCGCTCAGGTATTCAGAACATCCCTCTAACGAGTGTGGGTTGAGCATAGATTCCCTGGGCCAGAGAGATGGCAGAAGAACGACAATAAACAAAGCGTGCTTTGGATTCAGAGGGAGAGATGGGGCAAGTTCACCGATAACCAGAATACAAAGCAGAAAGGAAGAAGCATTGCAAGGGGCACGCGCGGAGGAGGCGGGGAGCCTCTGAGGAGGTGGGCTGAGAAGGGCTCCAACGGCATGAAGCTGGCATTAAGGGGTTCAGGATGATGCAAATGAGGTCAGAGGCACCGAAACAGTTGCATTCATTAAACAAATACTGGCTGATCACCCACTACCAGGTGCCAAGCAAGGTTCTAGGCACTTGGGAAGCAAATCTCTCCCCTTGTGAAATTTACATTCAAGTAAGAGAAGGGACTTGCCTGGTGGTCCAGTGGGTAAGGGCCCGGGTTCCATCCCTGGTTGGGGAACTAGATCCCGCGTGCCACAACTAAGAAGTACGGATGTTGCAACTAAAGATCCTGCATGCCGCAACAAAGACCCAGCACAGCCTAAATAAAAGTAAATAAATATTTTTTTTAAAAAAAAGAGTAGGGACACTACACAAGATATATAAGTAAAAGTAGGTTAGGTGGGCTGGTGAAAATGTAAAATTGTGCAGCCACTGTGGAAAACAGTAGGGCAACTCCTCAAAAAATTAAACATAGAATTATCATTTGATCCAGCAATTCCACTTCTGTGTATATTCTCACCCCATGAAGAAATCTGGGGTAAGAGTAGTCCAGAAATAGGGATCAGCAAGTGCAAAAGCCCTGAGGCAGAAACGGCCAGGAGACCATTGTGCCAAAGCCACTGCCATGAGAATCCATGGGTTTACCTTTGTGCCTCTTTGGTTGATTCCAATGGTACTAGGGAAACTGCTTAATAGTGGAACTAGGAAAAATATTCCTCAGTTCTGGGGACAATGCGAGAGTATAGGTTCTTATTTGGGTGAGAGGTGGGAGGAGTGAATTGGCTTTATTGAACTCAGAGCAAAGTCACTATAGGCTCTAGCAGTTACACTTCTTTGGGGAAGTGTATGATCACTCAGACCATAGAGCTGCATGGAACCATAACTTCATTTCTCTGGAAACAATTCTGCTAGGACAGGAACTGAGAATTCTTTCTCCATGACTTGTGGGTGAGTTTGTGTTCTAGGAGAACACTGGGTTTTGCATTTCTCATTACACTGCTCTCATAGCTCCTGGGTTTGGAAGAGGTCACTGTCATTAAATTCTTTTATGACTTTCTCCCCCATCAAACCAAGGATAAAGGTGAATAAAGAACTCATCCAAAGCAGAATGCTCCAACGCCCCAAGATAATTTCTTTTCATAAAACCTGGAGTTTCATGCCAGGGACATTACATAAAAATAAAGCCAGAGTAACCAAGCGCAAATTATATTGTTATAGACAATGCTGTGAGATGAAATCTTTCTTTCAAGATATTTTAATTGCCAGATGCCAAAGATAGTAGACTCTCTTCTTGTTGAGACTTTGCCAGCCTTGTAGCTAATGCCCACTGTAGCTGCATTAAAGGCTCTGGGGCACCTCTGCCAAGATGTGATGGCCAAGAACCAGTGATGACTTCAGCGTAGGCTTTCTCCACCTGCCAGCCCTGCCGCCATCTTGGTCTGGCCTGCACACCAGCTTCCTGACTGTCTGATTTGCAGGTCCCATTGGATTGTTTGTCCTCACAGTAAAGTTTTTAGGAAGCTAGCTTAAAGTTTAACGCTGAGGGATGCTGTGGCCCTAAGGGTGGTCTCTGGAGGGATCGTCTCTGGAATTCTCTGCTAAGACCCAGTGTGTCTAAGCCACAGTGTTATGGAAAGAGCATAGGAAGAAATAGGAGACAGGAAGTCTGAGGCTTAACCATGATTCATCTCTGTGCTGGTTGCCTTCTGCTTGCTTAACCCACTCTAGAGCCACGCCCTACTGGACTCTGCCCTGCCCTGTGCCCCAGGAGACTGACCTGTATAGACATCAACAGGCTCCGTTGTCTTCTGGCCTAAGTAAGGCCAACGGGGATCTCTAGGAGGAGAGAGAGGTTGGTTGTTAGTTACCCCGACTCCTTCCTAGGTCACCGCAGGCTGCCGTCTCTTCCCCCTGAAGGTGTCTCTCTCCAGGTTCTGGTGATTGCGCCCTCCTCTCTCTTTCACAGGCCTAGGTAGCTCCCCAAAACTCCACAATGTCCCTTGCATTTTTCCCGCTTTTGTAAAGAGTTCCTTTATTGAATTCTGCTGAAAAGATCCAGTTTAAGTGTGTCCTCTTCCTCCTGCCGGGACCCTGACTGATGTGGTCAAGAATGAGCTGGGTAGCCCTGGTCACACCAACTTAGGTCTTGGTTTCATCATCTTTAAAATGGAGATAGGATTTCCCTGGTGGCGCAGGGGTTAAGAATCCGCCTGCCAATTCAGGGGACACGGGTTTGAGCCCAGGTCCGGGAAGATCCCACATGTCGCGGAGCAACTAAGCCCGTGCACCACAACTACTGAGCCTGCACTCTAGAGCCCACGAGCCACAACTACTAAAGCCCGTGCGCCCAGAGCCCGTGCTCCGCAACGAAGAGAAGCCCCCACTCGCTGCAACTAGAGAAAGCCCGTGCGCAGCAACGAAAACCCAACGCAGCCAAAATATAAATAAGTAAATAAATAAATTTATTTTAAAAATTAAAAATAAAATAAAATGGAGATTAAAATGCCAGTTCTTACACACTCATTCCAGAGTTTTCATTAGGTTTATAATGCATATAAAGTACTAAATAAAGACTTTTAAAAATAAATATGCTATCTAAGTTTCACAATTCCAGGAATGCCTAAAAATAACATGTTGTCTTTTATATGTCAATATACTGCTACCAATATACGACACTTTGGGTAGTTTTTCTAAAACACACATGGGTTTTTATTAAATACCCAAAAGGTTAACTGGTTTTCACTGTGATAAACATAAACACATTAGATGGCCAATAATAATCCTAAAATCCCAAATTCAGGAAGACAGATAAGACAAAAACACGTTCCATATTTTGTACCCTTCAAGGTAGTAATAATTAGAATTTACCCTTCAAGGTAGTAATAACTAGGAAAAAAATCTAAACATAAATATTGACATATCTTTCCTTTTTCATAAATAAAAATAGCTTGATTATCACCATTAGCTACAAAGAGTCAACCTGGTATAGGAAAAAGAACATTGGCAGACTTAAAAGACATGTACCGAATTTATTTTTTTTATTTTTAAAAACTGTAATTTAATTTTTATTTTATATGGAGTTTAATTTATTTACAATGTTGTGTTAGTTTCAGGTGTACAGCAAAGTGATTTAGTTATACATATATCCATTCTTTTTCAGATTCTTTTCCCATATAGGTTATTACAGAATATTGAGTAGAGTTCCCTGTGCTATACAGTAGGTCCTTGTTGGTTATCTATTTTATATATAGTAGCGTGTGTATGTTAATCCCAAACTCCTAATTTATCCCTCTCTGCCACCTTTCCCCTTTGGTAACCATAAGTTTGTTTTCGAAGTCTGTGAGCCCGTTTCTGTTTTGTAAAACATGTCCTGACTTTAAATGCCACTTCTGACACATCCTATACGTGTGACCTCAAACAGAGCATTTAATCCCTCTGTTTTCATCAGATCTGTAAATGGGGGTAACAGTTGTCTCCTCTACTTCTGTATGAGATAACAGTGAAAGGCCCTTGTAAATGAAATTGAGCTATTCGTGATTGCTCGCCCAAGGCTTCTTTAAATACGTCATCTCTGATTATTCTCATCTGATTAAGATAAGTGGGGGCACTAGGGCTGCCCTGATTGGAGACTCAGAGGGGGATGGTGTAGGTCTTGGGGGAAGGAAGTGAGGGGACAAGACAGATGAGGGCCAGATGTCCTGACCACCTAGCACGGAAGAGCCACCCTGGGCTGGCTGTAGTCCAGACACAGAAGTTGGGCTCAGCGGCGGAAAAGACCGGTCCTTGCCCTCGAGGACTTTACCCTTTAACTAGGGAACTAAGTGTAACCCGCAGAAAATCTTTCCTGTGTGCTTCACAGGAAGCTCCAAGCTCACTGCGCACTGCAACATCTCCATCAGGCTGCAAGGAGGAGCTGGGCCTCCAGTGGAACCCAGGTGCAGGGGTGAAGCATGGGCACCCAGCAGGGAGAAGGCTGGCTGTGAGGAGGGGGAAACAGCTTTAGGAAGGGGACAGACTGCCGGGCCCCGGGACCAGGCACGATAATATTTACATTCATGCATTAGGAAACAGAAAGCCACCACACAGTTGTGAGCAAAGAGTCCCAAGGTGAAAGTGGATTTTTGAGAAAGATGGGTTTGGCAGAGATGGGCAGGATGAAGTGATGGAAAGACTGCAGAAAAAAGATTTTTTTCCCACTCCTTTAAAGAAACCTAAATATTTGCAGTATAACTCGTGACTTAGGATAAGTGGTTCTACCTCCTAACAAAGACAGGCCCCTCCCAGAATATGTTTTCCCTTTAAATGAAGTTGCTTTACCCTTCAAAACAAGAAGCTTACACTACTGTGAGGTGACTGTCACAGCTCTGAAAGTCCCAAATCAGATGGGGGGTCTCCACTCAAGGCCCCGTGGATTTACAACCACACTTCTCGTGCTTGTCACACTCTAGTTACCAGAGTATGTGGGCGTTTAAAAAAACAACAACAACAAAAAACTGTTCCCACACAGTATTAACCCTTTGGTATTTCAGAGATGAACAGCAAGGTTCAATTTGGCCCTCTTTTTGGTTTTTGTGAGCCGCTTTCCCTTATTGTCAACTCACCCTGCAGACCCAGCTCAGCAGTGAAGGCTTATTCACCATCCCACCCAGGCTTTGGCTCAGCTTAGACCCAGAAGCACCTGGATTAGCTCCCTCAGTAGCCAACAACATTTTGTCTCGGGTCCAAGTTGTTTATTTATCTTTCCTAGGCTATTTGAGTCACTGAAAGAAATGTATTTGCTTTTTCAACTTCTCTATTCCCTAGAATGTTGCTTCCTTTTTTTAAATACATGACATGATAAAGAAGTTATGCTGAGTGTTTTATTAGCAGATTTTGAAGGAGGGGGAGGGAGGGTCTAATTTGAAATAGAGAAAGAGGGAATTAGCCTTTTATTTGGTTTTTATTTTTCCCCTGCATTGTCATCTTCACCATCGTATGTTGAAATGCAACATATATTGGCACAGAATACACGAAAGGCACTGGTGTACATAAATGTCATAACTCCTGCCCACTGGGGGCTTCCAATCCAGTTGGGTGGTCTGTATGGAATCAGCTATACGTTCTGGGTCAGGACAGAAGTCTAGAGGAGGGGGCGATGGTCAAATGGAGTCAGGGAAGATTTGGAGGAGGTGGGGCCCCAAAGGATGGGTGGGACCTGGGAGACCCAAGCTGAGGGGTGGGTTCTGGGCAGGGAGAAGCCCCAGGAGAGGCTGCAGAGGCTGACACAGGCTGGCTGTGTCTGATGAACTTGGTGTGCGGGGTGCACTGGAGAAGCGGGTGGGGCAGCGGGAACGACAACTCTGAAGGTAGGGCTGTCATGGAGCAGGGGCTCAGAACCCCCGGTCTGTGGCTGGCTTCAGGGGTCCTGAGCCCTGAAGCCGTGCTGCTTTGGGGGTATGTTTGTGCAGGCTTCAGCAGAGATGGTCACGGAGGCCCAAGGAGTTTGGGGAGAGCTTTGCATGCCTTGGCTGAAGGGTCTGGATTTTACTCCATGGAAGCCAATGAGTTTGGAGGCCAAAAAGCAAGGTATCATGGGGAAAACAGTTGTTGTGTATGGGTTTTGTCGCTGCCGTTTGGTTTTTATTTTTTAAAGATTAATCCAGAGGTGGTGGGTTAGATGAGGAGGAACTCAAGTAGGGAGATGATTTCAGTCTCTTATGGTTCAGGCATGAGGTGAAAAAGGACCAAACACGATGATGGGAGGGGCAGGAGAAACATTATAAAAGACAAATTGGCAAGAGTTTGTGACCACATGTGACAGGAGAAAAAGAATGTATTAGTGAATCAAAGTGACCAGTCAGCCCAAGCTAGGTATAACTAGGTTTACATGCAATACTGGCTTATTTCTATAGCTTCTTGCTTTTAACAACAGATTTTGCTTACAAACTGCCCCAAGGATCATTTTCTTGAAGGATCAACGTGCCTTCTCAAAAGGGGGTATGAGTGACCAACAAACTTTGAGCTCCTTTGTAGACAGAGAAGTTGGGCCGGGGCACCCTGTTGAGCTGACAGTGGCCAAACGTGTAAGTTTCCAGGAGAAAGTCACAACAGGCCTTAGAGATTCATCAGGTTTCCTTGTTACATTTTTCTTTTAAATTATTATTAAACAGGCAACATAAAATCATTGAAGAGAGTTGCAGAAAACAGGAGAAAGCATTTCCATTTTTGGCTTTGGCAGCTAGATGCCTGAATAATCCTGCTGACCAAGGCAGCGAATGCCCCAAATAAAAGTCCATATTTGTTGAAAACCCACTACACTCAAGACACTTTGGAATTTTAAAACAATGAATTCAAAGGTAAGCTGTAACAAGGAAATTAATGTTTTTTAATACCACTTTCACTTAATCAAAGAAATATTAAAACTTTTGTTATCTTGAAAAGAAATGGATTAGCCAGAATGTTGTTTCCAGACATTTGTTTGGTTTTCACTGGACTTTTTGCCTTTGGGTCAACAGAGTTTGCTCCTGTCTGTGCAGCTCTGAGTGGTGCTTGTGAGCCAGGCCCCACCCAAGCCACAGGGGGAGATTTTCCAGGTTGTTCAGGCAAGGTTGTCACCTCCTGTGCCCAGAAGTGGGGGTCACTGCAGTGCAAGCTGACAGGCTTCTCTCTGGCCCTGTCTCAAAGCCCCTTTCCAACAGGTCTGCTAGAACCTGAGGATGAACAGAGCAAGGGACTGAGGCTTGGGACCAGATGGGAAGCTGGAATCCCTCTGGAAAATCAATTTAGCATTATCTAGACAAGTTGAAAATGTATAAACCTTAAGTCCCAGAAATAACCCCAGAGAAACTCTTGATGGT